GATAATTGCAATAGTTATTTAAATAAAGCACAATGCTAAATTGATTTGAATTATGCAGTATGTGAATGGATGATAAATTAAAATTAATGTACTATCAAGGAATGCTCAACAGCATAATTAGAAGAATATTCTGCATATAGTTGTTAAATGTATTTTGGTGATTAGTGCACAGTAAATCAATAATAAGATGGATGTGAGATAGGTTAATCATTGTGCAAGATGTATTCATATAATCAATGTATGAGTAATGGATAAAAGAATTTAAATGGATAACCTTGTTTTTGGGATGATGATAAAAATACTTGTTTAGAAAAGATCTGCGAAAATGGTCCATCAATGGCAAAATCTCATTCAGATTGTATTGGGTTCCTCTCTACATGTTAAAAAGGTGGTTGTCGCATTAAGAATTGTTTTGATTATAATTATGCTATAGATTCAGTATGTGCATCAATATTTAAAGATAAAAGATGTGTAACTAATGGTTATCAATGTGTTTTAAGATAAGGTTGTGAAGATGTTAATATGATTGATGGTTGTACATTTGATAAATATTTAAATCCTTGTGTTTGGATAAATGATAAATGTTTCACAAAAACCTGCTAGACTGCATTAAATTCACTCACTAAATATGAAGAATGTGTTACTTACTTACCATATTGTACAGTAAAATAGGAAGGAGGATGTACTTATAAGAAATCATGTTAAGATTACTTATTTAAAGAGGCTTGTAATACAAATGATTAAAATGAAGAATGTATATGGGATGATTATCTAAATAAATGTTTTTATATTACCTGTCTTGATTAATGTGGTGATGGTATTGTTACTACAAAAGATGAATAATGTGACGATGGTAATTATTTACCTTATGATGGTTGTTATAAATGTTAGGTTTAATGTCCATTAGGATGTGATAATTGTAATGGTCGATTTTGTTTAGAATGTTTTAAGAAAGGATGGAATTTAGTAAATGGTGTATGTTATTCAACATGTGGTGATGGTTATAGAGTAGGAAAAGAATAATGTGATGATGGAAATACTTTAGAATATGATGGCTGTTATCAATGTTCTTATTCATGTCATCAAAAGTGTGTTGATTGCTATTAAGGATAATGCCTTTAATGTAAAAAAGGATATTTAGAAAAAGAATCTTAATGTCTTAATATATGTGGTGATGGATATCTTATTAACCCAGAAGAATAATGTGATGATGGTAATCTTACCAACAACGATGGCTGCAATAATAATTGTACTATTGAAAAAAACTGGAAATGCTATGAAGAAAATAATCTTAGTACTTGCATTTATATGATTTTACCTCATATTATACTTACTAAATTAACCAAAACAAACAATGGCATTTAAGAATTTAAATTATCTTTCTCTGAACCAGTCCGTTTGAATATTAAAGGTGTTACAGATGAATAATTTTAATAAATGATTCTCGTTTCTATTTTAAATACCAAAGATACTAATTATGATATTGAAATCAAATCTATAGTTCCAATATCTACAGAATTACTTGATGTTGCATATAAAATTTTACTCAATTTCAAAACTTTTATCTCTAATCCTGTTTTAAAAATAGAAATTAAGAGCAATGATATTGTAAATTTATAAAATAACCCCTTAAATTCCAATGAAGCTAAATTAGAGTTAAAATCTCCAAACAAAATCTCTGATGATCAATAATCACTTATTATTAAGACTGCCTTATTTAGTAAATTTGTTATAAATATTATATTAATAATAGCTGGCATTGCTTTTTTGTGTGGCAATTTAGAAATTTTATGGAATCTACTTGATATGCTTCAATAATTATCATACATCAAATATCACAATATTCAGTTTCCAGAAAACTTACAAATTTATTTTGAAGTATTTAACTTTGCTTCATTTACTCCCCTTTTCATTAATCTTGATGTACCATTTACCTTTCAAAATCTTTTTGATTTCGAAATCCCATTAATACCAGCTAAATGGAAATTTGAAGAATATAAAATCAACTGTTTCTTTTTGGATACCTTCTAAACATTCATATATGTAATTTTTTTTGGATTTGTTTATTACATCCTCTCTTATATCTTTTATAAATTGCTTTTGCGTTCTAATTATCATAATTTCCCTGCTATTTTTTATAGAGTTTGGCAATCAGATATATTTTTCAAAATAACAAGATTTATATATTCCTTTGAGAAATTAAGTAGAAAATATTTTTAATATTTTTTTTTTTCTGGATTAATCAGAATTTTTACAGCTAATTTTTATGACATTACCTTTGCCTCAATTTTATAAGTGATCAATTTCAATTCTGATACTACTCTTAGTATAATTATCTCATTTTTAGCACTTATAACATTATTTTTTAATCTATTCCTTTTGACTTTCATTTTTTAATATCTAAGTAAAACAAAAAAGGTTTAGAAAAATTTGTAAATCTTAGTAGAAGGAATTAAAAATAAAGTTAATTTTGCATATAAATAATATTTTACTATAATATGGATTAAGAAAACTTTATTCATTATTAATTTAGTTGTATTTTAAGAGCTTGCCGCTGCTCAGAGCATTGTTACAGCATGTATTTCAGGAATTTATTCTTGTTATATTTACATTTACAAGCCATTTGATAACAATTACGAAAATATCAAAATATTCTATACAGAAATACTGATCATGCTTAATACTATAATTTTTTCTGTATATGAAATTATCTAATCAAATCCAAACAAAGACATTGCATTTATAATAGGATGGATCAATGTAGGTTCTTTTAGCTTGATTCTAATTATAAATTTATTCATCGACATCTAACAATAACTATAAAAATATCTGACGAGTGCAATTGCAAAATTGTAAAGTTGGTTTTGTAAAAAAAAGAAACCTTAGAATAGAAATCTTTTCTTTTGATAATCAAATTGCTAATGAAAAGATTATTTTATATAAATATATGAATATTTTTAATTATAATTTAATTTTCTTTTAATTAAAAACTTTCTAAATAATAACTCTTAATCATTATTATTTTTGTATCTTATTTGTCCATTATATCTAAAATTTTAAATGATTTCCTTATTTCATTATAGACTGCTTCTAAAATAACTAAAAATGGCACAACTAAACTTATAATTAATAATGAAATTTATATATATTTTATACAAGTTTATATTTCACAATTTTTTTTTGAGAATAATCAAAGCTTTATAATTAATTAGCATATTTTATAGATACCCCCTTAATAAGTAGAGATCTAATTATATGTAAATAAGAGATAAAATAAGAATGAGACCAATTTCTGTTTTTCCAAACCTATCATAACACCATCAAAAATTAAAATCTTTCAAACTTCATAATCATATGATTAAAATGCTTTAGAATGTTACAATTATGTTTCCCAAAAAGCACCATTCTTTATCTACAATACAATGAAGAATAAAAAGATTAATTTATTAAAATATCCTTCTTAAAATAGCTTACTGAAATTATTTTTGATATTATATCAAATTTTTATTAAAATTAAATTTTAATAAATTTTCAAACAATATCCAACAATCTTTTATGTCCAATTTCATTTATTATAACTGTTAAAAAATTTATTTCAATCTAGCTCTGAAAAATTTTTTGAATTCTTATTTTTTAATATTTATACCACGAATTTCAATAGAAAATATATTTCTGATTTTCTAAACGAACACAACACGGAAATAAATAATAATATATAACGAATTTTACTTTTTCTAAATTGTTCAATTTTTACATCATTAATACTTAATAAAAATTTTTTTTTCCTGCCATAAAATAAAATAAAGTAATTAATCAAATACATAAGGTTAACCCTGTTCTTGTGTCTAATTTACATATTCTTCTTTAAAAATCTCCTAATAGTAATGGAAATTTCAAAATTACCTTCATACTAAGTTTTATAAAATAAAGTTTTAATTTAATTACAAAATTTCAATAAAGGATACAATTTATTTAAACTCATTTCAAACTTTTTCAATCAAATAAAATAATTGAAATGTACAAATTTGAAAATATTAAAGTAATTATCCCATTATAAAATAATTAAAAATATATAAATATGTAAATATTAAGTAAATTTTCCTTTTTTTATTTTATTAATAAAATAATTAAGGCAATCAATTGAATTTAGCAATTATGATAACCAAAAAAATACTGTTGTTAAAGGCACTCTATTATAGTTGTGTAAATTTTAAGACAGTTAAACAAAATAATTGATAGTTTGGATAATAGAAATATTAATTAAAATATCCACCAATGAAATGGAATTTTAAAGAATAATAGAAACTATTGATTAATCATTAGCATGTTGATGGACTTAGAACTTCAGTAAAAAGAGTTTGATTTATCAAATCCTCTTAAGCAGCATAAGCTCAATCATTTATTAATTAAAATAATATTTAGGATATTCTTATTTTATTCAACTATAATAAAGAAATTAACTTGTATCGAAGATTATAAATTTTGGATAATGTATAATCAATGGATATGTTAATAAGCAGTCGTAAAGCAAAAAGGTAGAGTTAAGCACTTTCAAAAGAAAAGTAGTTTAAATTGATTCATTGAAATTTCATCAGATATTTAAATTAATTTATATTCTTATCCAATTCAAAAATTTGAATGAAGTTGCCTCTAAAAATAACAAGATTGTATGCTAAGACTTATAAATGGTTTAGATGTAGTTAATATTTACTTGAAAATATTTAAATATAATTTCTAATTTGTAAATGTAAATTTTACATTTCTTACCTATTTTTCTCCCATTTATCAATTACTTATTTTTAAAAATTCATCTTTAAACAAATCAAGATAATTGAAAGAAAATGTTAGATAATTTTCTATTTGCTGACCAAAATTTTAAATCAATAATCGGTAAAACATAAAGAAAGCATATATTTTGAGAAGCAAAACATACTTTATTTTTGTATATTTACCAAAGTTGAAGCGTTTTTTAATTAGTAATAAAGTTTTAAATCTAAATTTCATACTTTTTAAACTTTTTGAAAATCAGTTTTATTTTTGTAAAAAACATCTTCATACTTATTATTAATTGGTTCTTAAGATTGCTATTCTGAAAATGAATGCTCCCCTAATTAGATTTTCATCATCATTATTTTATTTGTTTATATTTAAATTAGATTTTTTTCCAAATCTAATTTAACTGGGTTTTAATTTTCATTTCTTTGATCTACAATGTACACTTTCTTTCTTTTGAAATCGTTTGGATTATTATTTTGTTAGTATAATCCCATGTTCAGCTTCGTAAATGGTATCAATAAAGATACAATCTTGTTAGATTAATAAGACTGGTATTTCTTAAATAGAGAAACAAAGTTTGATTTCATATTTTGAATGAAACGAAAATAAAATAAAATTGTAACCAAACCATGAATTATATAATTGGCTTCATAATTTGCTCTTCCTTGAATACAATTATTTCTAAATTCTCCAATGTATTTTGAATTATCACTAAAAATCAGTTCTCCATTACCATAAATCTTTCTCATAAGCAAGTTACCTTTCTATACACAACGATTAGCAAATACAAATTTCCCCTAACTTCTGAATTTTACCATCTTTAAATTATCCAACATAGATTGTTCTATTTTTACTTATTTCAGTATCTTCTTCAACTAATTTATTGTTAAGCCAAAATCCTCTAATTTCGTTTCTTGAATTTACAAATTTTTCTTAGTTATTTGATAGCTTAGATTAAATTGAATAATAATATAATACAAACTACACCAAAATTCAAACAATCATAAGTTAATGGGTAGATTTTGGAAATTTTTATTGTTGTCTTTTTTAAAAGAAACATATAAATCCTTTACCATATTATGCTTTTTTGCAAGAAAAATAACACCCAATTTAAAATTAAAGAAAAATATCTTAATCTAAAATAATCATAATAGCAATCGATCAGAGAAGTAGTATTTTTTAAAGATTAGAATCAATAAATACAAAGTAGAAAAAAAAGAAGTTATGGATACCCAAGTTTTAAATCCTTAATTAAAGAATGAAACATAAAAAATAATTAACAATAGCTTTGTCCTTTTTAAAAATGAAATGGACTGATTGTTCGTATTCTTTAAACTGTTTTATTTAAGTAAACTATATATTCTAGTTATATTATAGAAACTCCAAGAAATATATTAATTCAAAATGATATTGTTAACTGAATTAGATAATGATTTTTTATTATCTGTAAAAATCTACAATTCTGTTAGATCCAGAATCAACATACTGTTAATACATAAAAGATTATAAAGATTTAGTTGAAAATTTAGGTAATCCTTTTAATAGAAAATTAATAAATTCTATAAATAATACGATAGTGGATTTATTAAAAATGAGAAAGGATAGATTGGATTAATTACTTATAGATGATATCTGTATTAGTTAACATTAAATAGAGCCATTCGATAAAAAGCTTAAATTGGTTATTTCCAATTCTGTTATCCTTTTTCCAATCTCCATCAAATTAATTTATATTAGCCAATATTTCTATCCCCTTCCAAGTGATTTATCATTTAAAAATTTACCATCTTTGTATTACATGTCTCCCAAATAATCCTTAAATTTTATTTTATTCACATTTATTTATGCTGAAAACACTAATTAAATTAATAATTGTTATTTTAATAGAAATTATCAAATTTAATATTAAATCACCATTTTAATAATAAAATTTTATGAATTTTGTTTCCAAAATTTTACCAAGAAGGATTTAAAATAGAATTCAAAAGTCTTATTACACCAAACACAAAATATAAGGATTGTACTTTCTTAAACATCAAAAAATTAGCAGCTCTAATTTTTAGATATTTCAAAAAATTTTGAATTTAATGTAATTCTTGAAATTTTATTTTGAATTTTTATTTTGTCAAATTCGTATAATTCAAATAAATCTTCAAAATAATTGACCATAAAAATTAATCTATTTTATTTTTATTTTATTTCTATTCAACTATCATAATTCACTTCATTAATAATTTCATTTCTACCCCACATAATATTAACTTCCTGCCATTTGCCTACTTTTTTGCCTTTTTGATTATATTCTCCATTGTAAGTGACTTGCCATTAATATCTAAATAGATCGCTTAATTCAATCCACTTCCCAATCTTAATTTAACTTCCTCTATCATCATATAATCCACCACCACTAAGTCTTAGAATATTTTTCTTACATTTATTGGTTCTTTCCTTCAGAATTAAAATAAATTATCCATTTGCTGATTTTTTTGCCATTTTTATTATATGTTCCATTATGAGTGACTTGTGAATAAAATTCAAACCCATCATTTAACTCAACCCATTTTCCAATCTTAATTGTACACCCTTAAACTTGATCATAAGATCCACCACCACTAAAATTTTTATTCTAATTTACATTTACTCAGGTTTTTCTTTTCCCACTTCCTTATATTTAATTTCCCATTTACCAATTTTTATACCATTTTTATTATATTCTCCGTTATAAGTAATTTATGATCTATAAAAAAATCGATCGTCCAACTCTGTCCATTTACCAACCTTAATTTAGCCTTCTTCGCTATCATAAGATCCACCACCACTAAAATTTTTTATTCTATCTTACATTGACTATGCTTTTCCTTTTCCCACTTCTTTATACATAATGTCCCATTTACCAATTTTTTAACCTTTCTTATTATATTCACCATTATATGTGATATGTGATTAATCTCTAAATCGATCACTCAACTCTATCCATGATCCAATCTTAATTTGTCCGCCTTCATCATCATAAGCACCACCTCCACTATTTAAAAAAAAAATTCTAGTTACATCTATTAATTCTATGTATCAGAATTAAAAGATATACTCCATTTACCAATTTTCTTGCCATTATTATTATATGTTCCATTATGAGTGACTTGTGAATAAAATTAAAATTCATTATTTAATTCAATCCACCTTCCAATCTTAAATGAATAACCTTGAACTTCCTTATATTATCCTCCACCACTAAAAATGTTTTTCTAATATATAAATACATTGACTTTTATTCATACATAATATCCCATTCACCAATTTTTATACCATTTTTATTATATTCACCATGATAAGTGACTTTAGATAGAGACCAAAATCCATTACTCACCTCTATCCACTTCCCAATCTTAAGCGTACATTCTTCTACTTCTTTATAATATCCCCCACCTCTAATAAAAATTTTCTAGTTTATAATACATCTATTTTTATTCAAAAATTATATCCCATTTACCTACTTTTTTACCATTATTATATTCTCCTTTATAAATTACTTATGATCCACCATAAAACCCATCGTTCAATTCAATCCAACTTCCTATTTTTTATGATTTTTCTTCATCATAATATCCACCTCCACTAAAAATTTATCTTAAATTATTTGTACACTATTTTATTTTCCTATTCTATTTTCCAATATCCAATTCTTTTATCCTTTTTATAAAATCCTTCTTCAATAACTTTTTTTCCGCTAAGTATTTATTTAAAAATACTCCCAATAATTGTTGCATAGATCAATCCACATGCCTTCTTTCAATCCCATTATACTATAAATTCCTCCTCCAATATATATGCCTTTCCAAAAGTAATCCCATAATTTGTATCCATTAACTCCATGTTCCCCAATAAATTCTAGATATTTTATTTATTCTAAATTATTTAATATTTTTTGATCTTTGCACCCTGATTAACTCCGTTAACTAAGAAATTTTAACTTGAAAATATACATTCTAAGAATTTCTCCATTTTTTTTATAAACTTTATCTCCATTTTTTTGTTTTGTAAATTGAAAAGTTGTTTCTTCCAATTAGTTATTTATGTTTTATAATCCTTATAACTCAAAAGATTCTTCAATCAATCCTTTACTGTTTTAATTCTGCAAGAAGTCCAAAAAATTGTAGTGAATATTTTCAAATAAATGGCTTGTTTTATAGCCATTTTATACTATCCTTTCCAATAATTTTACAGCTTTCTAAATTTAAGGAGTCAATTATATTTCTTTTTTAATCCATTGTTCAAAAATATCTCCTTCTAAAAAGTACACAAGAAAATCTAGCTCAGCTTAAGAGCATTCAAAAGGATTCAAATTTTAATTTATGCTAAGAAACTTTTCATCTCTTGCTTCAGAGTATTATGAAATTCCATTTATTGAATCTTTCAAGCTTTAAAATATCAAATTTATTTCTTCTAAAAGTATATCAAGTTGATGAAGGACATTTTTCAAAATTGATTTTGATTTTCTTGACTTCAACTAATTATCTAAGTTTAATTTATTGAATTTATCAACTAATTATTTAGAAAATTGTTCTTTTGATAAAAATTCATCTGGTGGTATTTTTTGTGTTACTATGCATTCAATACATAGCTTTCTTTAACATTATTAATTATGTTTTCCTTTGTAAATACCGACAATTGCGCAACTTGGATGTTGAAAGCAATATTCATGGCATGAAATCATTAAATTTAATTTTTAGATAAGTTCAAATTTATATAAATTATATTTTTATAAATGGTAAAGAAATAAGCACTACCTTGAGTGCTCATATATCTCAAACCTTTAATTAATAATAATTTTCTTTAATAAGTAAACTTTTAAGTTCAGTTTTATGCCTGTAATTGAAACTATGTATATTTAAGAAGCTAATCCTGCATCAAATTTTTGCAATTTAATGGCAATTCTGTTTTTCTTGGAACGGTTTTGAAAAAAATGATCATAATTTATTAATTTTTAAAAGGAATAGTTATTATGTTATAATAAATAATAAAAACAATTATCCAAAATTTTACCAATAAGCAGTACTATTTAAATGAAAAAGAGGCATTTCTCAGAAGTTCCTTTATATTTAGCGTAATTATCAGAAATTTGTTCTTTACCTTCTTTTCCTAAAAAATTGATGCCATTCTGTTTGGCTCCTATAATACTTCGTGCTTTAATCTTTTTTTTATTCAGATATCCTCTATAAATTGTAATTCAATGGTTTCAATTTAGATGCAAAAGAAAATTTGCTTCCTTGATATCATTTAATCCAATTATTGATTGATTCAGACCATATTGAATAAGAACATCCTCATAGTTGTATTCCTAAAGTTTTTTAGCTTCTACCTAGTATTCATCACTTATTTCACTTCTATTTATCACAGAGACGTTACAATAATTGTAACTGATTGAATGCCTGATAATTTATTGAAGTTTTAAGGATAGTAGTATCAATTAATTTAATTCGCAAAATTAATAGATGTCGTCAAGTTATTTAAACCTGACGGTCAAGGTCATCACACCTAGCTCTGAATTGTTTATTAATTAAATTATGTATCCAAGATTGAAAGTTGACAAAAAATTTTTCAAACAATTTGCTCTTTGCTGTGCTATTATAACAATCAAAAACCATCAATAGTGAATTTTGATAGTTTTTTTAATCTTATCTCAAGGATAAACAGTCAAATGCTATTGGAATAATTTGAGAAAATATGAAATAATAATGAATTAAAAAAGAAATTTTTTATTTATTTCGATTTCTCACATAATAAAAATTAGTTGTTTATTAAAACTGCTTAATTAGCATAATTAATCCTCTATTTAAATATAAGCTAAATAAATATTTAAATTATTGGTGATCATTTCATTAAAAGATATACTTACAATTAGATTTTTATAATTTAGTGTTCACTTTTAATTTGCTTTTTCTTGAAAAAAATTAAATTTCTAAACTAGAATAATAATGAATTAGATTTTTTATCAAATATACTATGTCATGTAATATTAATTCCAATAAATTAAATTAATAATGCAAACATTTTTTGATTGATTTTTACTTATAAAATTAATAAAATAAATATTACTATAAATAAAAAGGTCAAATGAAAATTAAATAAGATCTCATAATTGTTAAAAATCATGAATCCTAATTAACACAAATTCTATTTTTAATCTACCTAAATGAATCTAAAATTTAAATAATTAAATTTTAGACAAAAAGTTCATAAAATGAGAAAACAAAAAATATTAACACACAAGCTATTCTAAATAGTAATTTATAACTATAATTAATTTTATATGCTATGTTATTTTTATACTTTTCAATTATCATATTGTATTTCTCTTAGTTTTTTATTATCATTTATACTCATCTCTATCCAGGTACCTACTTTCACACCATTCTTATTGTATTCACCGTTTTATGTGACCTCATAGGATTTTGTAATTTCAATCCATTTCCCAAATTTAGTTCCTTCTTAATCAAATGATCCGCCTCCTCTATATTGCTTATTCTGATAATTATTTACATTTAGATATATTCTAAATCCAATTTACGATAAATTATATTCCATCTACCTGCTTTTGTACCATTCGTATTATATTCACCATTATAATAAGATTAATTAGAATCAAAATATTTATCCAACTCCGTCCACTTTCCAATCTTTTTCTCATTTCCTTCTTGATCATAAGATCCACCTCCACTAAAGTATTCCTTATACTTAAATCATATTTACACTTATCTATATTCCATCGAATAGTTTAAGACATACTAAATGTCCCATCTGCCTATCTTTGCACCATTCATATTATATTCTCCCTAATAAATGAGTTATCTCTCATATTTAAACCATTCATCTAATTCTAACCACTTTCCAATTTTTTTCTAATTTCCTTATTGATCATAAAATCCACCCCCACTAAAACAGACACATGAATTTTTTTGCTTACATTAATTTGTATTCTTTTTCTTCATATCTGCAATATAGAGTATCCCATCTGCCTATCTTCATACCGTCCATATTATATTCACCATTATAAGTGATAAATTTTAAATGATAAAATTCTTTGTCCAATTATATCCAATTCCCAATCATTTTCTAATTTCCTTCTTAATCATATGATCCCCCCCCACTATCTTATATTTATTCAATATTTACATTTATTAATTTCTATATAAAATATCCCATCTACATACCTTCATACCATTGGTATTGTACTCACCAACATAAGTGATTTCATTTCCTGTTTTGAACTTTTCATCTAAGTCGATCCACTTTCCAATTTTATTCTAATTTCCTTCTTAATCATAAGATCCACAACCACTAAAACATATAGACACGCAAATTATTATATATTGCTAATATATCTTGAATATTTACATTTGTTCATATTTATCTCCAAAAAGTCTCTAAAATTATATATCCCATTTACCCACCTTCATACCATTGATGTTATATTCACCAGTATAAATGACTTATTTTATTGCTTAAAAAAATTTATCCTATTCTATCCACTTTCCAATTTTTTTCTAATTCCCTTCTTAATCATATGATCCACCACCACTTCTTATACTTTTGTAATATTTACATTTATTGATATGGTTAATTAATAGACTTTGTAAACATAATATCCCATCTCCCCACCTTCATACAATTGATATTATATTCACCAGTATAAGTGACTTATTTTATTGCTTAAAAAAATTTATCCGATTCTATCCACTTTCCAATTTTTTTCTAATTTCCTTCCAAATCATAAAAACCACCTCCACTTTTCATTCTTTATATAATAGTTACATTTATTTATCCCTATTTAGAATATCCCATCTACCAATTTTTGTTCCATTCATATTATATTCACCTTTATATTTTACTTCTTTTGAATCGACAAAACCTAAAGAATACCCTTCATCCAATTCTATCCACTTTCCAATCTTTTTCTAATTTCCTTCCAAATCATATAAACCACCTCCACTAAAACAAATACAAATATTATTGATTATTTCTTATACTTCTAATATATATACATTTATTGATCTTAAGTCACCCCGTAATTGGCAAACATAATATCCCATCTGCCCACTTTCTTTCCATTGTCATTATAATCACCACTATAAGTAACTTATTTGTCAAATGTAAAATCTTCATCTAATTCTATCCACTTTCCAATCTTTATCTAATTTCCTTTTTAATCATATGTTCCGCCACCACTAATGATACACACATAATATAATAATTGTATTCCTTATACTTATATAATAATTACATTTACTTATATTCCCTATCAATTCCATATTTGTCAACATATTTATACATAATATCCCATCTACCTACTTTTATACCATAAAAATTATATTCACCATTATAAGTGACTTATTTATATTTACAAAACCTTTCATCCAACTCAATCCATTTGCCTTACTTTTAACCATTAGCATTGTATAACCCACCATTTCTAAGGGTTAATAAATTAATTACATTTTAATATCTTTAAAAATATAATTCCATTTACCAATTCGAAGACTCTTAAAATATAATCCAGTTTCAACAACTTTTGCTTAACTATTCATAAATGTAAATAACAATTACTTACTCACAATAATTTATAAATAAATCTTTCCATTACCCTTGCTTCTATCCATTATTAAAGTATCCACCAACATTCTTTAATATAGATTTATCCCAAAAAGCCACCCATTTACCCTCTTTCTTTCTGTTTTTATCATATTAACCTTACCAGGTAAGTTTGTGGATTTAATCCACATTATTAAATAATTATGGATTCTCAAAAAAATCATGTACCTTTATTCTTTATTTTAACTTATAATTAAAATTACATTCTCAAGATTGCTTGATTTTTCGAATAGATGATTTAATTATCTTAAGTAAATTTGATTCCAATGTTTATTTTATGAAATCTATATTTGGCTTAATCCCATTATCTAACTTCTTTCTATATAGTTTATCCTTCCCATTTGATTGCTTTTAAGGTAAAATAGGGATTTGAGTCTGATAAATTCATTTTATAAAAAATAATTATATTTGTTAATCTGTTGAAAATCGTCTTAATTGATAAAAATTTGATCATTTTTCTAAAGGAGATATTAAGAATATTATTATCAAATGGGTTCTCACTACCCTATAAAAATAAAATTAGGAAAGAAATAAGAATCTACCAAATATAAATATTTTGTGAATTAAGCTATAAATAGTTTAGAAGTTTTAATCCTCATTACTATAATAACAATGAGCTTTTACAAGAGTGAAAAGTACTCCATGAAATTTTTTCTTCATTTTGCAATCTTTTACAATTTAATCTTATGCTTTAATCATAGGCTTTGCATCGAATTTAAAAAAAAATTTTCATGTGCTATTTTATATTTTATGTCAATCCTGTATTTAGATTGTTAAACATATTAGTTTAAATTTAAAGCATTAATTTAATTTTATTGGTTAAGCTATCATTATCTTGCCTTATTTTATCAAAAATTGGACTAATTTTTTATTAATTGAAATTATATAAACTTTTTGAATGAGCAGGAGATATCCATTTTTAATCCATTCATGATAATGAGTTCTATTACCCTTACAATATTCATCAAAACAAGCCAATTGAGCTAAACTATAATGGTCTTAATTCATTAATTTATAATTCTATAACAAACTCAATTTCATTTCCAAAGTTTCTCAAATCTATTTTAAACTATCAATCTTAATACAACATTTTTGGATTAATCAAGCTTAGGAAAATATTATAAAAAAGTTAAATTATTGAATAAAATTTGATCTATAGACTAAATCATTGATAGACTCATAAATTGCTTAAATCCAACCTTAATCTTTTCCATAAACAGAAAATCTTCAGTAAAATATTTTAGACGTTGTGATCTAAATAACTTCATTCATAATTGAATTTGCTATCTTTTATTATAGAAACAATCAAATAATGAGGAAAGAATCAATTTTAAAGAATTAAATAAATTTTAGGTAGTTAAAGTTTAGAATTAAAAAATAGAAAGCTTATTTTGATAAGATCAGAATTGATTAGTGATAATGACTCCTTAACGGTTAAAAGACTAAGAATAGGCACAGCTAAATAAAATTTTAGATCATAGCTTTCAATAAGGATCTCTATATTCAAATTAAAAAGAGCTAATAATATAAATAAAATTCTCGCATTATCAATTACATTACACCAGTTGTTATTAGAAAAAAGGAATTAATAGAAGAGAATTAATGAATCGATCCATTAATAAAATTTAGGTACATATCATGAAGCGCTTAACTTGCTTATCAACAGGAGAAAAGATACTAAAACTACTAAGGTGACTATAATAATAGTAAATTCCATTCTCTTTAGCATCTAAAAGTATCAGATCTTGCAGTTTTGAGTTGGTTGTTGCTATGAATAAGATGATAACATAATTTGAAACTAAATAACTCATTTTCGTAAGAATATAGTTTTTAATTGTTGTTGATAAAATCAATAAATACAATTTCAAAAGATGAGAGGATGTTAGTAGCTAAATTTTGAAGGTGATAATGATTTGAATTAATGATATTGATGAAATTCATTTGGATGCTTCGTTAATTCCCTTAATCCTTTTAAATTTAATTTTGATTTGATTATAATAAAGAGATAATTTCCTGAGTGTTTGAAATACTTTATGAATCTGGATGCTATAAAACCTGACATTGATGATAAATCATTATAACTAGTATCAGGCATACCAATTTCAATCTTCATTTTTTCACATAAGATCTTCTCCAATTCTAAATATCTATTTCTCGTTTAATTAAAAATTGACTATCAAAAAATCATTACTTAACAAGGCTTATAACTGTAAATAGTTATTAAAATTTTTTTTTCTTCATGGCAGTAACACGCAAAATAATGATATTCTTAATTTTTCATTTTCTCATAAAAAAACAATATTATAGAAATAAAAATATAATGATTTTTCAATCGATAAGTCATTTCTATATCTAGATTAAGTTAAAAAATTCTAAGTAGTACGATATTAAAAATAGAATTTAGTATTTAGCCCTAATCCATCTAAATTAATTAATATCTGTTGTCGGCAATATAAATTATAAATAAAAATAGTTCTTTGGATTTATCTATGACTATGACAGTGTATAAACAAAAAGGATGAAAAGAAGTAAATTGAACTTATCTTATATTATATAGTTTTTTGTTATCTATACAAATATCTAAAAAAGCTGAATTAAACCATTAGACTGTATAAGAACTGTAAGTAAATGAAAGAAATGAGTAAATAACTTGAGCTAATTTTCCAAAATCTAAGTTATTCATTCTGTAGAAGCAAAGAAATAATTAATGGCAAACCTCACTAATTTCTTTTAACATAAAATAATAATAATAAACTTTCAAAATTTTTAAAAAAGTTATGAATAGCACTATTGGTTAGAAAAAAGATCTTTTTGAGGTTTTAGATTAGGTTGGAGAGATGAATAAATATTAAGCACTATAATTGAAATTATTAGAAAAGAAAACATTTCAGATGGTATAGGATTTCTTTCAATAGAAGAGAATCAAAAGCAACTTGAAAAATACAATTTAACAATATAAAATTAATTATTTGAGAAATAGAGGCTAGATTTAAGAAATAACTTTGAGTTATTTTCTAATATTCTCAAAAAAATAAAAAGTCAAGACAAAAATAATTTTTCATCTAAGAAATACCTCATTATTAAGAAAGAGATAATAAAAAATTATTCAAAGAACAACAAAATCATTTAATTTTTAAAATTTCTAGTTTATCTTACAGCTATTGATAATGAATTTATAATATGCGGATCAAATTCAATGAATTTATTAGTGGAAATGAAGATTGATCCAAAGTGCAATTGTTTTGAAATATCAAGATATAGAATACTTTTTTAATTGGGGGTAATTTTGTAAGATGTAGTTTGAGTGGATCAGAATTTAATAATGTAGTTAAATGGAAAAACTTGAAAATCTTGGAATGAAATAATCTAGATGGTCATGATGGTAGAGTCTATTCAAAATACTTCTCTCCTGACGGTATGATATTGGCATCCGGTGGTTACGATAAATCTGTTCGTTTGTGGGGATGTTAAGGAAGGAAAATAAAAGGCTAAAATGGATGATCATAGCGGATCAGTCTTATCAGTATGGTATTACATTAGCAATAAGTAGTAGTGATAAATCTATTCGTTTATGGAATTTTAACACTGGATAAGAAAAAGCATAATTTTAAGGTTATAGTAATTAAGTTAATTCAATATGCTTTTCTCCTGATGGTACTCTATTAGCATCGAGTAGTGATGATTACTCTATCTGTTTATAGGAAAAGGTGCTGGTCAGTATGCTTCTCTACCGATGGTACTACATGATGGTACTACATTAGCATCTGGTAGTGCAAATAACTCTATTCTGTTATGGGATATTAAGACTAGAAAAAAAAAAGTTAAAGTGGATCGTCATAAATATTAAGTTTTATCAATTTGCTTCAATCCTGAAGATACAATATTAGCATATAGTAATGATGATACTTCTATCTGTTTATGGGATGTTTAGACAGGATAATGAAAAGCTTAATTATATGGTCATACTAGTCAGGTAAATTCATTATGCTTCTCTCCCGATAGTGCCACATTAGCATCTGGTAGTGGAGATAACTCTATCATTTTGTGGGACGTTGAGACAAGATAAAAAGCCAGATTGGATGGTTATAGTAACATAATCTGCTCATTATGTTTTACTCCTGATGGTACTACCTTATCATCTGGTAGTAAAGATAGCTCGATCCGTTTATGGGATGTTAAGACTAAATAATAAATTTAACCCTCATGAACAAATTAAAAAGTTGCTTTATTATAATTTAAAACCCAATTATTTTAAAATAAGCCTCTTTTAGAATTTTGTATTTAATTAAACTATATTTAAGTCACCTCTAATTTTTCTATTCTCATTATTTGAAAATCAGCAATATTTTAAGCACAAGAAGCCATTAATTTCAAAGGATAATTTCAGAATCGATCAGGCAGAGATTTAAAAACACTTTTTAAATAAAAAGGAAGTTTTTTTATGGAAAATTAAGAGAGAAGTTGATTTGAACATTTCTATTTGTTGTTTTTTTTTTCATAAAATAATAAACTCTTCTGCTCTTTGTTATATAATTTTAAATAAAGTTAAAATTTTTTACAAGTATTGTTTAAAATCTATGAATTATTATGAATACAAATTTTTATTAAGTTTATTTTAGTTAAGATTTCGAAATTTTAAGTTAGAAAAAATAATTATAGAAATTATTAAGTCATTTAAAAACTAAAATTCTGAATACATTTAACTAAGAGAAAATTAATCGAATATCAATAAAATTTTATGATGAAGAATATTCAGAGAGGTCAGAATTTTAATTAATCTTAAGGAATTGTAAATCCTGAAAGTTAAAATAAAACTGAAGATAATTTTAAAAATAATAACAAGAAATACACTTTATTTTTATTTCATATTGAAGGGATTCAAAATTTTGCCTTAAATATTAACTGAAGTAATTGTAGATTGAGGTAATTACTTTGATGTTGCTAAAAATGATAAATAAAATCAATATTCAATAGTTGTTAAATCAGGAATGCAAATTTTAATAATTTTTTTATTTTGTTGCATAATTTTAATGAAAAATTGAATCTTAGGAAGTCAACTCCATTATCAAAAATATGATTACAACCCTTAATAATAAGTATGGATTGTATATTTAAACAATATTTGATATTCTTTTTTTATAAATTTTATTATTAATGTTTTAACCTAAAATGATAGAAAATTAAAAAGATTTTTAATGTAGATTCCAACATTCATAACCTATTGAATTTGTGATCCTTGATTAAAGTTTACCAAACAATCAGCAGCTGATTTGCAAAAATTGTTAGAAAAATTCTCAATTAGATTTGAGAATAGTAGAATTCTAAATTCTCAAATCAAACTTTGATGATTTATAAAGACAAAAAATTGAATAGTATG